TCAATAGCATATGAAAAAGTCAGATGCCTGTAATATCAATATTCTAACATAATTAATAGTGATAGAACATTTCTTTCTCTTTTTTATTTCTAATACTTTATCAAAACAATAGAATGTTAGTAATTTTAATTAATGCTGTACAAATATCACTGTGTCAAAACAATATAACAACAGTATAATAAAAAGGGGGGAAATGGAAAAATAGCAAGGATGGAGCATTAAAATTTTAGGGAAGGAAAAGCATTGGAATATTGATGGCAATGGAAAGTGCAATTCTGGGAAATGAGTGACAGCAGCTGGGAGGATGCAAAAAAAGGAAAGCCATGGGATGGAAGTGAAGTATGCCTACCCAAATCATTGACTGCAGAAAAAGGGAAAGAAAAGATCTGGAGGGGATTGTAAATGCTGGGATATGTTGCATTGGGAGAACAGCTGAGAGAGGATGTGTAATAGCCTTGCCCTTCTTACACTATGAGATTGTTCCAGGATCCCTGCAGCTTTTGTTTTAGCCAAAATCCAAACAGCACAAAGAGTTCTGCAAATTCTTTTTTATTTTTGGCCAGTTGTGGCCAATGGCTAACCAAGAATAATTTGGCAGGACTTTGGAGACACTGTGCTTCTTTCAGGTTCAAAACAAAATTACATTTTCTGTTTCATGGACAAGACTAAGATGAAAATAAAAAAGACAGAAATATTTCAAACAATTGGAAAAGCAGTGAGACAATGCAACGTGAAAGATTAAAAAGGTAGAGTTGTTGAAAGCAGAAAATAGAAATAGGTAAAGAATATAATTCTGCACAGTTCTATTTGTTTGAAACTAATCAAGGAAAGAACCAACTTATAAGTAAGGATAAATTTCCTGACTGTGAGAACAATTAATCAGCAGAACAACTTGCCTCCTGAAGTTGTGGATGTTCCAACACTGGAAGTTTTAAAGAAGAGAGTGGGCAAACCATTTGTCTCAGTTGGTTTCCTGCTTGGATTAGAATATCTCCAAGATGCCTTTCAACTCTGCTATTCTGCTTCATGATTACCCAAAAAAAAAGTATCAATTTGGGAAACTGAATTTATAAACTGAAGGAATATGTAGATACTGTGTTTGCATCTACAATATAGTTACAATATAGTACAGCACAGCTATCACAAAGGTGCTGGAGTAAAGATTTGGTTGAATAGGGTTGAGTCATTAGAATTTTAGAATTTTTTAGAATTTTATTAGTATTTGTAGGCCGCCCTTTTCCCTGAGGGGACTCAGGGCGGCTCACACAA